CGCGTTTAAGGTCACGTAATTCAGCGGTATACCACGGTGCGTGAAGGCGGAGAGTGATAGAACGGCAAAGCTCCGGAGCGTGTTTGTCAAGTACCGTACGTAGTTCTGAGTTGTAAAGCTCAGCTAATTCCTCAGGATCAGGGTCGTGGCTATCGTTTCTTGGCAAAGATGACTGAAGCATATCCTGTTTAAATGCGTCCATGTCAATGTCTCTCAGGCGGCGTTGTTTGTATTGTGATTTACTGGCAGCTGGTTTGGCGAAGGCTATAGAGCAGATCACGGCGCTGTGATCAGACGGGAAATCATCTATAACCGAGAATTCCGAGAATTTCGAATCTTGCTGTCTGTCAATAATAAGATCCAGAGTGTGTCCGCTGCGATGCGTTGGGGCTGTAATATGTTGTTCCAGGCCAGCCCATTCCTATATATCCTTGAATGCGTTCGCAGAAGTATCATTTTCTTTATCCATATGAAAGTTAAAGTCACCGTTTAACAATAAATAATCAGAAGCTAAAGTGAGCGTTTCAAGTAGCGTTGAAAAGTCATTAAAAAAGGTATCTGGAGTTGAGCGGTTTTTCTTCGAAGAGGGCGGTCTATAGATGGTTACTAGACGGATGGAAGATGTACCATGACTAATAGTCAAGTCCATATATTCCATCGATGGAAGCGGAATACAGTCATTTTTTGTGACTTTGAAGCCCTTCCGCAGTAAGATACCAACTCCACCGCCAGGTCTGTCGATTCTAGGAACCTGATGGAATTCGAAATCTTTCAGAGTATTCAATATTTCAGCCATAGTGTTATTACCATGAAAATCAGCAAAGAGCCAAGTTTCAGTAATTGCTAAGATGTCTAGGTGTTTAGATATTACCAAATCACAAATTGAAACGGACTTCTTGTTTATAGATTGTGCATTCCAAGCTCCAAATTTGATTTTAGTCGGCTTAGAATTAATGTGTTGAATAGGGACGAGATTTTGAAGATCCCTTTGTTCAGCCAAGCGATTACTGCATTGAAGAGTCCTACTTTGCCTTCGTCTTTGCGAGATATTAAGCACAGGAATAGSTCTAGTAGTTGATGAAAACTGGTATGTTCGATTATAGAAGCTGTGATGTATGGCAGTTGGTATAAGATTTAGGAACAGATCCGGTGAAACAGGAGCATTAGATCTTGAGTACGAAATTTCTGTTCTTGAATATTTAATTATCGCAGGAGCATTTTGGTTTCGTAATGTAGGATTCTGAATAAGTCCCGAACGATTYGTAGCGACCACTGGTCCAGGATTCCTCTGGACATCCATGTGTATAGTAAGGTCTGTCCAAAATAGTTTATCAGGCAAGGCCAGGAGCACAGAGCCATGTTTGGTGGTCTTTAAGGCCGGAGTTGAGATATTCAGATGAGATGGAGAATTGATGCGCTTGAATTGAATCTTTGAAGTTAAGAGAAACCTGCTGAATTCATTCCAGATACACCAATTTTGCACGTTATTGGCAGACTTTCCTAGAGTTTCCAACTTTGGATACTCATAGTGGTGAATTGAGGTTTCTAGGAGTGCTCCCAAAGCTAAAATCCGAACAAGTAAACAGAGCCAGCTATCAGTGTGGCCGGCCATATGCAATTTTATCTTCACCAATAAAAGATAAAGCGCCTTAAAAACGTAATGTCACTATAAGTTCAATCGGCGATAAACGATTTTGATAAATCATTTGGCATAAAGCAATCGCATATACAGCTTTAATTAATAAAATGCTTATGTTTTTGTGGAAAATTAAAGTCCTTATTAATGTTATATAGCATGTTGAAATACAGAAATATGGATAAACTTTTGTGATTTTTATACAATTATCCATCATATCACTCCATGTTTGTTTTGATTTTGAGGTCATCACGTGAGTTCAAAATTTTCAAGCAAGAGAGAAAATTGACTCAGCGCCTAGCGAGAAGTTAAAACATTCGAAATCTAAATTTGGAAAACTTATTTATTATTTAACTTTATCATATAACTATCCATAAATTACCTATATTTCTCCTTTTCGAAAAACTGGTATTCTCACATGTGAAAATAACATGCTATTTTCACATGTGAAAATATCGTTAGAGTACAAACACTATAAGTGTGTAACATAAATACCACTAAATACTGCTAAATTATGCTAATCCTATTGTTTTCYATTGTTTAATTAGCACTATTTACTACTTAATAGTGCAAAGTTTATAAGTTTTTAAGCTATTAGTTTATAAATATAAACTTTTTTATAATGATAAAAAGCTTGTTAAGTTGATTTTATGGATAATTATATGATAAACAGAATATTACATCGGCGCTTGGAGATACAAAATTATTTTTCTCGTGTTGAAAATTTCTCACTCGTTTGCTACGCTCACTCGTGAGAGATATTCTCAACACTCGAAGATAAATTTCGTGTCTCCGCGCACCCATGTAATATTCTCTAAATATTTATCATTAATTATTATTGATATTATTATTCTTACTTTATTAACAATTTGCTTCACTTTTGCTTAGTTTACCGAGTCCAATCCATGGGCCTTGGGAAAACAAGAATATATTTACAATACGGGATATAATTTAAAACAATAATAATAATAAATCAAGTAAAAAAACAAAATCGAGTAATGATGAGAGTTTTTCTAATGATGTGTGCAGTTCCAAGGAGAGCATCCTTCTGTACTTCTGCGATAGAGATGTCCCCTTTTAAATGGTTGACATATTGTTCTAGTCCTTTGTGAATTAACCCCAGTGCCCCAATGACAAACGGTTTGGTTTTTGTTTCCATACCCCACATTTTTTAATTTCTATTTCTAGATCTTTGTACTTTGAGAGTTTTTCTACTTGTTTTATAGGGGCACATTTCGTTCTGTTGGGATTGACACTTCTATCAAGCAACATCGTTTCTCTACTTCGTTCTTGACTATAATGCCGGGCCTATTAGGTGTGATGGTTCTTTATCTTTTTCCCCAAAAAGTTCCCTAGTTTTCTAAAGCGTTCTTATTGATGGGTTGCAAGTATTCCCAAAGGAGTCAAAAGATATGAACACGGCGGCCATTGTTGTGCCGTTAATGAGAAATCTTCTGTTTAATGGCATCACATGGCCGCGATGACTCGCTTCGGCTCCTCAAGAGGTTCACGTTCGTTCAAGAAATCTAGAAGAATTACCCAAAAAGCTACCACCAGGAACAATTAAAGGAACAATTAAAGGAAATATTGTATCACATTTGTCAGATCGTTTCAATTTTTATTTATTTATTTTATTTTTAATTTATTGTTCTATTTCTGTAAACTTTTGCAATGCAATTATTTCTTTGACATTAAATCATTTTATCTAATTATGCTATTGAAACCCAGTTCCCTCGATCTAAGTTGGCGCGATTAAAACCTGAAGAGCTTGGGCTGACCTCAAGCCCTAGTACCCAAGCTCTATAGATATTTCAACGCCAAAATTGGTCGAAGGAACTGGGAAGGGCATTCTTTTTATCCAAGCCGTTTCTTTCGTTTGACGTCGTGAGACTTTCCGGTTCGTTAAGGGATGTTTAACAAGATGGCTGGCGATCTCCAAACTCTAGGTTGGATTTCACGAACTCTTCACAGTTGAGATACGAATCCTCTGCAGTAGAAAAGATAAATCAGTAAAAAGAAGAAAGAAAGAAAGAAAGAAAGAAAGAAAGAAAGAA